TTGCAGCACTGTTCACAGTAGCAAAAAGATGGAAACAACCTAGATGCTCATCAACAGACGAATGGATAAACAAACTATGGTACATACACACAATGGAGAATTATGCAACAATAAAGAACAATGATGATTCTGTGAAGCATCTCATAACATGGATGAAACTGGAGGACATTATGCTGAGTGAAATAAGTCAATCACAAAAGGACAAATACTGAATGAGACTTCTACTGTAAAAACTCATGTAAAAGTTTACACACAAAAAGAAACAATCTTTGCTGGTTACAAGGGATGGAAGGGGTGGGGGAGAACTAAATGACAATACATAAGCGGTAACTTTGGTGAAGGGTATGACAGTGTACAATACTGAGGAAGCCAGCACAACCTGTACAAGGAAAGGTCATGGAAGCTCCATAGACACTTCCAAACCCCCTGAGGGACTGAATTGCTGGGCAGAGGGCTGCAGGGAACATGGTCTCAGGGAACATCTAGCTCAATTGGTATAACAGTTTATATAGACAATGTTCTACATTCTACCTTGGTGAGTAGCATCTGGGGTCCTAAAAGCCTGTGAGCAGCCATCTAAGATACTCCACTGGTCTCATCCCTTCGGGAGCAAGGGAGAATGACGAGAACAAGATACGAGGAAAAGATTAGTCCAAAGGACTAATGGACCACAGCTACCAACGCCTCCACCAGACTGAGTCCAGTACAACGAGATGGTGCCTGGCTACCACCACTGACTGCTCTGACTGGGATCACAATAGAAGGTACTGGATAGAGCTGGAGAAGGATGTGCAACAAAATTCTAACTCACAAAAAGAAGACCAGGTTTACTGGCCTGACAGACTGGAGAAACTCTGAGAGTATGGCCCCTAGACACCCTTTTAGCTCAGTGGTGAAGTCACTCCCTAAGTTCACAGTTCAGCTGGGGATTGGACAGCCTCATAAAACAAAACAGGACTAATGAGGCACAACAGTCCAGGGACAAGGAATAGAAGGCAGGAGGGGACAGGAAAGCTGGTGATAGGGACCCCATGGTTGAGAAGGGACAGTGTTGACATGTTGTGGGGTTGTTAACCATTGTCATAGGGCAATATGTGTACCAACTCTTTTATGAGAAACCATTTGTTCTGCAAACTTTCATCTAAGGTACAAAAAAAAAAAAAAAGAAAGAATTTTCTATGTGAGATCAAATTGACAACAGCAACTCAAAAGGTTTGATGGGAAGCCTAGGGGGCAGCGAGTTGAAGAT